ATATATATTAGAATTAAAAGGTGAAAGTTTTCCTCATTTTTCATAGGTGCAAATGTGGGGGAAAATTTCAACAATAAATTAGAGCACTGCTTATGCATAAGTGAATAGGCATGGTTTAGAAAGGAAAAAGTATTTGGACTTTGGAATTAGACATCTCGATCTAATCACTGCCCCAGCACTTACTAGCTGATTGACCTCAGGCTAGATATGTAGCCTGATCTCAGTTTCTTCCAAATGTCAAATAGTGATGCCTTTCTTCATGGGGTTGCTGTGCAACTTTAAATATTATAGGAAAAGGATCCACCCAATCCTTGGCCTATGGCAGGGACTCAATATATGATCATTATTTGTGGGCTAGTTATTAGAATCATCATAATGCATGTTGATATCAGAGCCCTTTGTTGGGGAATATTTACTAGACCAAATGTATATACAATGTATCAATCGTCAGTTGGCAATTTCTACTCATATGTTTATCATCATATGGAGAAGAAATCAACTTATTTGATAAATTACTACAGGATAAGTTGTGTTGTTTCTATTTACAGATTAGAGAAATTAGTGTATGTGATTTCCATTATTTGGCCATATCTTGAAGAGTATTTCAGGAATGGTCCTTCTAAAGATACAGGTTACAAAGGACTGTGACATCTTCTGTCTTATCATTAGTGTATCTGTTAGAATAATCCCAGGGGTTTACTACAATGCCTATAGCTTCTTTACATTGCATATCTGTTATTTGTTGGTGGGGGGTTGGGGAGGAAAGCCTTTGCTAAGAGTAGTCACTTAGGGATCTAGGTTGAGAGAGTAGCAAATCAGTGTTTTAAACATTATCCATCATGGTGCAACAGGGAAAGAGAGAATTCTTTGAGGATGTTGCACTGGATGTAGGTACATGCTCAAAGAGGTGACATTTGTCACTTTCATTCACAACTCACTGGCCCCACCCACCACAAAATTATCAACTGTGCCATTCTACTTTGTAACAGGGAAGCAGAGACCTGGACAAGTGTTTTTTAACAGTATTAATGACTATTCCAGCTAGGAAGCAGAATCCTAGCAGTTGCAGGGCTCAAATTTAACAATATGGCATTGCTCCCTTTTTATCTCCTTCGAAAATACAGAAAACTCCATACCACAATGGATAAATACCCAAATGACATCTGGTACCCAAAGAAATGGTTGCATATCTACAGGTATATCCTACCTACATCCTTACTACATAGTAGTAAGCACACTACTAAAATATATAGCTAAAAAAATCCATTTGCATCATGGACCCAAAAATCATAGACGCACCATAGTATTAGGGGTGAACTATTTCCTTTTTCTTGGTAATATAAAGAACTAGAAAAGTGTAGGCCAAGCAATCACTGGTTGGAATACATTATTTATGTCCAAGAAAAACTACAATGACTCCATGTAACTGATAAGATAGGTGATCAACTTAAACAAGCTATAATATTTAAATTCAAATTATACATTAGCTTTGTCGGCAAAATCTATAAATTACGTATGTTAAAAGACATGAATGACATTAAAGTTGTGTTCAATGAAACCGATAACTATTGGGTTAGACATGTGAACCTGTGGCAGTAAGCATAATTTCCAGGCAAAAAGAAAACGAAAGATTAACAAAAGAAGTAGAAGAAAAGTAACAGGAAACAGTAGTCCATAACCAAAGTTATACTACTATACTAATGGAGATAAAACCAATAAAACTCTGATGTCTCAAGTGGAGAACACTAAGTCAGCAGTTCTCTCTCTGGGCTGCATATTAGATGCATCTGAGGAACTGAAAAATGCTGAAGCCTGGCCCTACTCCAAGAGATTCTGATTTAATTGATCTAGTAAGATGGAGCCCACGCACTGTCATGTTTTTGTTGTTATTGTTTTGTAAAGCTCGCAAATGCACGTCTAGGCTTATGAAATGCTAAACTAAGTCATGCAGTAATATATCAAGCCAAAAAATAAACTTGCAAATGATGAGTTCTGCAGACATACACCTATTAAATACAAAGGAAACATTTGTGCCAATGGGGAAAGAAGTATTCTATGCATCTACATTTTAAAAAACAGCCATCTAGCACATGTTCATGTCTATTTTCTCTGAGTAATTAACAGAGTAATAAGTATTTTAAATACACACTTTTAAGAGAATCAAAGTTTCTTCAAAAAGGAGGTGGGGAATGTCAGCTTTCTTTACAGTCAATGATGTTATGGTAAACAAAAAAATAAAATGTTATGAATAAGCCAATATAAATTACAAATATGCAATCTAAATATTACCTTCAACTTTTTTCTAAAGTATATCCCAATATTTCTATGAGTAGTTTTATTTATTGGAAAAAAATCTGTATGAATAGACAGTGAAACAGTTCTGTTGTGCTCTCAACAATAAAATTAATGTCAGAGGTCCCATAAACATATCAACCAGGGGTAATTGACTATGCAAAAAAAAAAAAAAAGCCAAGACAAACATGAACTAAAAGAGACAAGTTAAAATTTTTATAATCTAAAACTAAGAATATTTCATTTTCTCATAAATGCATATAATGTCTTTCTAGGAGAGCTTATTTATCTTCCACCTTAATATATTTTGTAAAATATTCAGTCCATATTCAGTGAAAATTCTGAAATATTTAGTCAGCTGTTAAACTAAACTTATACAAATTAAGAGAAAACGATGTTGAAATAATGTAGGAAGTAATATTTAGTCAGCTTAAGCCAGTAAGAGTGACATATGTCTATCATTCTTTGTCTAGTTTTAGAAAAAGAGATCAGACAACTTGTGCAATGTGCACCCCTTCTCCACCTCATCTAAAAAAGTCTTTAAGAAAGTCGACATTGTCTACTATATATTATTTCTTGTGTAAGTGATTTTTTTTTATGAGGGCAGGGTTTGTGGATTTAATATCTGGGCCAGTATGGAACAGTGTAGGGCAGCATTTGAGGATTTAGGAGCTGCAGTGCAGAGAGGACCATGAAGATTACATCCCCAGAATTCTAGGCAATAGAACTGTAGGTTGGCATCAATACTGTCAAGGTCTCTAAGGACAGAAAAATCTCATCTATTCCTGGGGAATACATCAATTGGAATTATCCATTTTCAACCAGTTTCTCATATGTATAATTTTTACCATTTTTTTATCTTGGTTATCAATATTTCCTGAGTCAATCTCCTTGCTTTCTGTTTCTTGAGTAGATTGGGACGAGGAGGGTTCAATCATCTGTTAGTCTCCCCTCCTGGCTTGTCCTTAGAGACAGAACACAGTGGGGTAGTCTAGCATGTGCCAACTGAACTGAGGTAAAAGGGAACTAAACTTTCAGCCCTGAATGAAGGGACCCACAAAAGAAGGCACCCCTATGCTATCACCAAAAAAACAAGTAAAGAGACACATACAAGAAGAAAAGAGTAAGGGCAAGGACAGAGCCTGTAGGTAGGTACCCTGAATGACAGTAGAGGAGAGAGCCTGCCCCAGAGCCTGTGGGCACCCACTGGGTAATCCACCCAGAGCACCTGGCTAGGTGGGAAGGTGGGGGAAGGAAGTGGGGGAAACAAACTTTTTTTTTCTGCTCTCATCCTTTCATTAGGGGAAGGCTTAATTTAAGCAGCCGTAAAATTCTTGGCCTTTGCAAGAATATCTCAGTTTGCTTTAATGCCTTCAGAAGGTTAAAAATGTATGGCTACTGATTCTTAAGTACGGCTTTGTTTTGCATCAGATATTTTCCTTATCCCAGGGATTAATGGTATGCTCACCGATGCCAGGCTACTTAAAATTAATTCCGACAGAACTCAAACCCTTTGAATAATACTAGTTCAGACAATTTTAAAATAAACTTTGAGGTTTTTACTTATATTTAAACATAATTTCTTAAGAACACCCCACTCTTTATCACATTGTCAAATATCTCTAAGCTTCATGAGAAGTTAGAAGGTGTCCCCATCCTTTAGAAGAAGGGAGAGGGCAGAGGAGGGAAAACACTCCTTCCTTCCTGTCTTCGGTGGTTGGCAGCAGATGTGTGTAGGAGCAACATTCAAAATGTCAGAGCAGAGAAGGTGCGTCACATTAAGATGACTGACTCACAACTATCATGAAATGAATGTAAGTGACGTAATTACACGCTTAAATATTTTTACTAAAACAGCCTTCCCTTTCAGCTGCTTTCAACCTGAATAGAACAAAGATACTGTTTATGCCAAAGATAGAGTAAAAGCCCATTTTAAAGTACCTTAAATTCTCATAGATTTACTTATACTGTCGATTAAATGGCACACCTTAAATATACATACTTATACATACATTTGAATATATATACTTCTCACTATAAATAGAAACCAACCAAATTGCATAAAAGGCATACACATTTCTGACATCAGATTTCTAATGAAAACATGCTTTGCAGATGAAAAGTTTTAATATTAGAATATAGACACAGATAATTGAATTAATTTATATGATTAAACCAAACCCATGGGAAAAGGTCCAGTTTACTTATTCTCATCAACCTCAGAGTCCAGTCTATTCATTAATTTAGTGTGTGACTTAAAAGTTGAAAGAGTCCAAGAGATACTGAAGGAGTCAGTATAATGAAATATTCCGTTTGAAATTTGAAAATCTGGTTGCATTCCATAATTAATTTTCCCTGTGAGCTAGGGCTACAACTTAAGAGTCTTCTCAAGAGAATTAAAAAATTACCAAATGATAACCTTAAAATTATCTCAGAAGGCAATTCTGTAAAGTCCTCAGTTGATTTATAATATATTGCCATTAGAAAAATAAAATTTAAAAGTACTGCACGGCTATTTTCATATCCATGTTTCCTTTGAAAAACTGTTTTAAAAATACAAATACTTGAGTTTAAATAAAGAGTATGTACTATTTTGTTTATATAAATATAAAAGCAAATAATTATATATCTTTTAGGACCTGAGACAAAAAGGCCACAATTAAAAACAAGTGCAAGAAGAATCGAAGTTTTGATATTACTGTACCTACCTTTAATGCGATACTATAATGTCCAACAAATGTTGCCTTTATCCATGATCTTGAGTGGGGGTCACCCAGGAATTCTATGTGATACTGTTCAACATTTCCATCCAGGTCATAGGTCACGTATTGCCTTTTAAAAGGATCAGGGCAAAGTATCCCTGGCCAACTTTCAAAAGAAAATATTTTTTTATTATTTCGATGCTCTAAAAAAGGCAAACATCAATACATCTGCCACAATCATATATCAAACTTTGTTCTTTCAATTTTAATAACTTATTCATAAAACTTAAATATTCATACTTGTATCTTTTAAAAGTAGGATATTCATTTAATACAAGTAATCAGTTGTATGTTTGTAGATATAGAAAACTTTGAAATAGTCACATATTCAAGATCTACATAAGATATAAGGGAAAAGAGTTATAAGACAAAAGAGTGATCTCCAGGGTCTGTAAGAAACGTTTACATACTGTTAACAATAATGATAAGAGAAAAAAGATTCATCAGATTCATGGCAGGGTTGAATTAATTCTAACCAATCACAATGATTCATTACTAAAATGTTAATTCACTGACAGGGCTTCTGACAGGGTAGGAGGGAGCGGGCACTTCCTTAACCAAGGCTGCCAAAGGAGTGCTGGTGGCTCAGGCTGTGATAACACCGGACATTCTAACTACCGTGGGTGAAGCAGACATACAGCTCAGCAGTTCTGTATTTGTCCCCTTTCCCCCTACAAGCTCCACTGGTAGGTGACGAAATTGCTAAAAATGCTCAGTGCTGGAAATAAAATTGATCCTTTGCTAAAAATAAATCTTTAAGGCTGTGTTTTCTATGACATGAACCTCTAGACATTCCTTGATATGTTTCATTTTTCCATTTGGCAATTAACTTTTAATTATAATGAGCAATCTTTCTAGACTCTGACCTATTCTTCGGAGAATAAAGCAGGGAGGGAAGGCAGTAAATAAAGCCAGGAGGCTGTGACTAAATAACATACAATAGAAATCTGACTGACTTTTATAGATCATGACCCAAAATGTGCACATCTAACATACCCAAACATTCAAAAATCTGTACAGCTGCCAAGTTCTACTTCAGTCTGCAGCACTGCAGAGTGAAAAGATGGTGAAGTTCAAATCAGGAGACCCAGACTCTAGTTCTGCCTCCTAACAAACAAGAGGCTTCAAGCAGGTAACTAGGCCTTACTCACTAGGCCTCTGGTTCCTCACTGTACTGTCAAAACATTCAAACAAACATGTGCTTTACACATTTTTTTTTTCCTGGCAAAGTAAAAGATTGTAAAGTGTCAACATTATGGACTGAATTGTGTATCCCCCTACACCACCCAAATTCATATGTAGAAATTCTAACCCGTAGTACTTCAGGTTGTGATTATTTGGAGATAGGGTGGTTAAGGAAGTAACTACGTTAAAAAGTGAACCCTGATCTAACATGACTGGTCTTACAAAAAGAGAAGAGTAGGGCACAGACACGCACGGGGGGGAGGCCATGTGAAGATGGGAGACAGACCCATCTACGAGGCAAGAAGCGGGCCTCGGAATCAACCAACCTTGCCGAAACCCGGATCTTAGACTTTTAGCCCCCAGAATTGGAAGAAAATAAATTTGTTACTTGTAATGCACCCAGTCTGTGAAACTTTGTTATGGCAGTCCCAGCAAACAATACAACCACACAGGGGTGATCGCTGGTACAACCGAAAAGTAGAAAGAATGAGCCACAAAGATTTTTGCCTCATTTAGGTAATTATTCCAAAACTAGATAAATTATATAGATAATTTTAAAACCTAGAGGAAGCATACACTCGTTCTATAAAGATTCTGAAGTCACAAAAGTAGAAAATCTATAAATTGTTTGGATTTGAGGACTATAGATTGTTGATATTATTATCAATTGATATTAAAGGTTTGAAGTCATAAATACAGATATGAATCTAACAAAGCCAACTATTAAAAAGGTTTTACAGATCATAAATCAATAACACAATGTAAACTAATGAAAACAGTCCACGGTTAGTATTACTAATGTAGAAAATCTGATCCCAGGCAGTTGACAAGTCCCAAGTAGAGCTGTCAGAAGGTGGTGACAAGTACACCGGTAACCGGGGATGGTGGACTGAGAATAGCACAGTTGTCCGGCTGCTCCCTGGATGCTGAGCAGAGTCCTATGGCTCTTGGGACTCTCTGAGTTAAGGGAAATGGGGGTGGAAGGCTGCCTGGCAACCCTAGATTATGAAAGAAGGGCTAGAGGATTACTAATGGAGTCGCACTATCTGGAACCCGAAGAAGCCTAGTAGTTGGAAGAACTGGAAATGATAACGGGAAGTCAAGTAGAGGTTCGAATGTAAGTGTAGAAGACGCTCAGGTTATTATCAGGTTCACGTCACAATATCAAACTGCTGTCTGGCAACTCTTACTGGGCTGTGCTTAAGAGTAAAACTCGAGTGGAGTTTATCTTTTAAACCTAAGTTGGAAATCTACATTTCTGAAGGAACCCACTCAAAAGAAGAAGACTGCAATAGGCAGATGAACAACTAAGAATGAATGGCAGCTGCATTGGAGACCCCCAACATATCAAAAATACAGGAACAAGTGGGTCCTTCAACCTGATTAACAGCTATTTTAAAAGAACCAAACTGATTAAGAGTATATTTTTTTAAAAGTTTTGTAAAATGTAAGGGGCTCATGTTTAATACTATTGATTTGCTCCTCACAGCAATTTTTTAAGCGATTATTGCCAAGCAATATCAAATTAAAAGTATCGCCTACTCCATTCAGTATCAAACAGTCTCAGGATTTCTAACACTTAAGACGTGAAAGAAAGAAATATTTTGCAGTTATTATGTGAAAGATGAGTGACTACATTTCTGACACAAATTCTGATATAACTAATTTTTACACCAAACCTACTTGGTCCAAGAGTATTTGATTTAAATTATTATTCTATAACATATAAACAAAAATTGAAATGACTCCTAAAACTAATTAGATGCCAATAAAAGGAAAAAGACTCTGTTCATTATTTAAAACATGTTATATTATAGAAAATATTGGATGTTGATTTAAAGATGAATTATAAAAAGTATTCTCAAGTGTCAAAATGACTGGGGCATGACTGTATTTCTTCAGGTGGTGCAAAGAAATTGTCTGAATCCTCGTCTGTACATCTCGGCTAAAACGGAATGTACCTAACTGTAGAGAAAGCTGAGCAGAGGCAACAGATGTAGAAAACATGATTACTTCCCTCCAGCTGCTCTATCTATCATCTTCTCTGACTCGCTGATTGAAAAAAGCTGATGTCCATTTTTGCCCTCACTCTGACCTCAATTTGAGTTCCAAAACTGTCAATGATGATAGCGCATTGTGCACTTCTACTTCCCAATTTTTCACTCCCATATTGATGAGAAATTCTGAAGCGTTGTCTGGGGGCTTAAAGATGGAGAGGGAGAATAAGAGTAGACAACCCAATGGAAGGGTATCAGGACTCCAAGGAAAGTGTATGATCAATTTCAGAATCTGTGGGTGGTGGGAGGTAAAATGTACAAATACAACAAAGTCAAATAGATACAAGGTGTTAGAATCCCTTTGGGGGGAGTGAACATTTGGACAGAACAAGAAGTAACTTGAAGGGAAGTGCAAATATATCCTGAAGAAACTGATGCCCTACACATTTCTTATCCAGTGGAAATGACTTTTAATATGATAGCTATTACCATCAATAGAAGTTGAAGCCTAAGCACGGATTTATTTATAGTCAATGAGAAGTACATGACTGTTATTTTCAAACTGTGCTTTGGATGTTTAAGAGGAGAGCAAATTTTACTCATTCCTAATCTGTGGGAAACAAAATGAATGAGCTGGAATCATCACTGACTGGATGCTGTATTTGCCAAGAAATCTCTGGGCTGTGCCTAACTGCAAGGGCTGCTGGAAAGAGGAAATGTCACACAACACACACACGAACACACACACACACACACACACACACACAATAAGTATATTAATCCATAGGGAAAATAATGCAAACAAAAAGTAATCAGGTAATATTTTATAATACTGAAAGCATCTAGTAGAAACTTCAATTTATAAATTTATACACTACTCATCTAAAAAGAATCACTGGATTGGTTTGTTAACTCAAAGGCATATTTTATTGCTGAGCTGTTTTAATACAGTACATTAGAAGGCAAATACATTTTTCTATAAATTAATTTTCAGATTCATGAGAAAGCTTTGTATTCTGTAAATATGCCCAAGGTAGTATCCTAAATAGAGCCTACTTTCTATTTGACAATGTATCTTCCTATACTAAATTAGATATGCACCATTATTTCTTGCTTTAAACTTCTACGCTTGTTCTAGCTGAATACAATGCTATTTTCAATTTTTAAAAATCAAGGCTGTTTAAACATTATGGAGATAGTTTTTTTCTTCTTAGTACATGCAGATATCCCCCCACCTCCCCAAGCACACAGAGACAACCCAAAGGCAAGAGGCTACATATGTATTTTTATAAGTATATAAGTGTGTCTATCTCACAATGTGAGGGAAATATAACTATTATAATTTGACTTTTTTTATAGAGCTTGCCCAAAGACAAAGAAAGTGCTATTCTCTTGACAATTACTTGCTTTTTTATATATAAAGATCAAATAGGTATTTCTAGATTCTGTATCAGTCCCTCTTTAACCTTATTAGAGAGGATCAACACTTCTGAGACAGAGTAACTCTGAGATGTTGACAAGATTGTGCTTTTGTGCCTTCAAAGTTGGGTATAAGGCCAAGGGCTAAGGAGAATTGACCCAGACAGTGCTACACTGCTAAGCATCTATGCAGCCAGCTAGCTAGCGTTTCCACTTGAAACTTCAACATTTATAATATTATTTAAGAAATGACGTTTGATACTACAGAATAATACACTTGAAACCTATGTAACTTTACTAACCATTGTCACCCCAATAAACTTTAATTAAAAAACTGAAAGAAAAAAAAAGAAATGATGTTTGAGTGCTTTTAGTCAGTAAATTCTAGCTTTATATTTTACTATCTCAATATACTGTTATCACGTTTCCAATAAGCAAGGCGGTAGTTACAGCTATATTGTGCAGGCATTTTGATGATCCTAATCACAGATTAGAGGTAAATTAG